AGCATTCTGAGTATACCGAGCGCCCAAGTAATGTGGCGCTTTTTTATTGGTCTCTGGACACGTTCGGTGTCCGGACACAATAATTACTTCTTTGCATAGTGCCAGCTAGTATCATATGTCATTTCTTAACATCAGCAAATTTACTTTTTTTATCACTACCCTCTTCTCTTGTTACTTATTCACTTGCTCTATTCCTACTCATGTCATGTATAAACTAAGGAATGACTAAACCATTTTCTACCAATCTCGCTCTCTCTACTAACTTTAAAAACTCTAGAATCCTCAATGGCACAAGTGGGTGTCTGATCAACTCATCTTAGTGATTATAAAATTTATGGGACGCATTTCTTCTCAGCAGTACTGATCAATTGAGGTGGATACTTGGTCAATGTAACAAACTCAGCTTCATCACTTTAATATCCCCTTACTCGAGTCTCATGAAAGTTTCTTGTATTTGTTGCCATGCTAATAGGGACACAAACCAATATCTGAAAATAATAATAAACTCTATCCAAATAATCTATCCATTCATTTTTTCTTGAAATTTCTCCCATTATTTTTCTATCCACTGTCTATCAAGTACTTCACTCTCAAACAAGAACACTTCCAGTAGTACTTTTTTATTCTCTAGACAATGCATACTATCAAATACCTTCAATTTTCTCAATAGTGAATCCTTTGTTTCATGTGGCTATATAGCTCCTCTAAATAGTGGGGGTTTCAACATATGGAACATCTATAAATATTTATCATCTTCAATCTCTTTGTTCATACTTTATATTCTCTGTACATCATTCATCAACTGTGTTATTAGATTGACAAATTACATCATGCTATCAAAATTCACTGAGACTATTGTACTCTATTCATTTGGTATTTCAAATGGATCCATTGCACTTAGTATAATTATCTTTCCTACCAAATTGTAATTCAATCATGCATATCTATATTATGAATGTAAGGGAGAAAAACTTATTGCTATCCATTTCTATCTCTCTCAATAAATTCATACATCTCTCATTATAATTCAATCCTTCTAATAACCTTTACTCTAATTTCACTCTATAACACCCGAAATTTCATTTTGAAAGAATTATCTATTTCACCTCTTAATTAAACTACCAGACACTCTAATCTTATTTATTTAATTAAAACTAATGAAAGAAACTATAATCATATACTAAAATTTTTCAATATTCATTTATCAAAATTTCATTTATAATAATCAGATGATCAAATCAATGCATCGGTCTATCACTCCATACTCATGACTATAAAAGAATAAACTAAACTACAAAAAATTAAATAAAACCTGAATTCTGAACTACCTCATTCCACTGGATCTTGACCCCTTCCCTAAAACATATGAAAATCATAGGGTGAGCTAACATCTCAGTAAGCTATCAAAATCTAGAACTAAAATCAATGCACGATAGTATAAAATAATAAGCTTTCAATCATTCAATTCATATCAATTAAATATATGAACATATAACTATAAAAGCACATAGCAGCCAATATAAATAATGAATATTTTCATGTCATATAAGTAATATAAATCAGTATAAGTAATATAATTCATAATCACTAATCAATGGTCATATAGAGGATTAGTATATTCTTTCATTCCTATAAATTATACCTTTTATGGCACATTATATGTATCAGCATATCTGTCATATCAAGCAAGTATTCAATATCTACTTTATGTATATCACACAATATTAAGACATGTACATCATGTATTATATTATGTATATCAAGTATCCTATGCCCTTGTAACAATCTCATAGACTTATCATATACATATATCAGTCATGTCATGTATAATGTGTATAAAATATTATATAATGCCACTTATGCAATATACCATGTCATATGCATATACAAGCAATATGGGAAATTTGGCTACCTATGGTATTTTTTCTATATCCAATCTTATAGGCCAATCCTATATAAACCAAATTTAATTATATCAGTCTTGTTCTTATGAATCCATCTAATATCACATATTACAAGTTTGGTGGCTTTTATATAAAAAGTCATATAATTTCTTATCCGTCAACATATCATATCATATCAATCAATCTCCTTATATATCTCATTTCATATCACTTAGGATTACAACGCAATTTTTATTTAAAGAAAAGCTCATTGGCCCACCCTCCTGTATAGGATAAAATATCTCAAGCCAACCTAAATCAATTAATCATTTCCAACCAGTCTCGTGTCTTTACACACATTTCATATCATGGAGAGTATAATACCAAACATCATATACACCAAATATAATAATTATTAAGTCCAATAGTATGCATTTAGTATGCCAAAAATACATATTTGACTAAATGAATAGAAAATATATTGATATCATATATTTTATATCCAAAAGAAATATACTGACTTCTGATTATTTTATATTCAATATTATATCACTCATTTCAATTAAAATGACATATAAGGAAAACCAACATGTAAATTTTCATATAAACTAGTCAAAATATTTAAGATAATGATATCTATGATATATCCAAAGTTATATAGTAAAAAATTACTAAAATAAAATATATTCTATTTTTACTAGTTTTAAGAGCGAGAAAATAGGCAAAGTGCAAAATAATTAAAAATGGAGGTAGGGTTAGTATTTCCTGTCACGATTATAATACTTTTTCAATAAGACTGACAAAAAATATAAGCATGATCCCTACTTTTGTAATAGCCCAAATTCTTAACTATCAAGATATTATCCGCTTTGGCCTAAGGGCCACATGGTTTTGTCCTATTGGTATAACTTCAAAGGAGGTCACCACTCATCCTGAGATTTCTTAGAGATGAGCATGCTTAACTATGAAGTTTCTTAATAAAATTCTAACTATTACACCAATAGGCGCCTCAATGTTTAAGAGTTTAACTTCTTTTTACTTAAGAGGTTTCACAATCTCCCACACTTATATTTTGAAACCCCTTAAGTAAAAAAGAAGCTAAATTCTTAAATATCGATCGGCTTTTTTGTAATTGTTATAATTTTATTAAGAAACTTCATAGTTAAACATGCTCATATCGGTAAAATCTTAGGATAGGTGACCTCCTATGAAGTTACACTAGCAAGACAAAATCATGAGGCTCTTAGGCAAAGCAGATAATATCTTATTGGTTGAGAGTTTGGATTGTTATAGCTTTCTCTCTCCTCTTCCTCCTCGTCTCTCCTCCTTTCTCTCCTTTTCTCTCCCGATGAATCAAGGAATATAGAAAAATGGATAGCTGGGTGAGGGTTTTGATAAAATAGTTTGCGATATTTTATTAAAAAATGTATTTTTCTGACCCAACGCCACATTGCCCATGACCCCAATATTATTGTGCTCAATTATTATACAAAACCCCGAAAGATTAATACGTGGTGCCCACAAGACCAGCATTGTAGTGCTAGTCAGCTAAATTTTTTTTCATATTAAATTAATTTATAAATTTTGGGCTATTACACTACTCTCCCTTATTGTCCATCAAAGTATTAGGCTTTGGTTAAGAGTTTTACTTTGAAGGAGATAATGAAGGTTAAACCACCATAAAATTTTGAGATGGTTATTTGAAATTTTTACAAGCGGAAGTTGAACTTGGCCATCCTTGTCACTCACTTTCATAGGATTATCATGCTTCTTGTAGTTGGTGAGGTAGTGAACTATTATCCCCTCTTCACCAATTTTAAGGAGGCTCCATTATGGAGATTCACTCACCTTCCTATGCATAGCATTTCCTAATTTGTTAACTTGATATGATAATTTATTGTTCAATTTGCTATTGTTGAGGGATCACTATAGAACTCTCAAGCTCTATCAAACATAATACTAAATCCTAATGAGACACTCGACCTTTTTATGGTATGCTTCTAGCAACACATGTTGAATTTATATGGCTTAGAGCATATTATTACCTATCTAACACTCATGTAAGGTTTGGAAGAAGATTTTTTATACTATGCTCCTAGAATGCGACATCAAAAGTGGTTAGAGTTGGTTAGCAATCATATTAACATGGCATAATGCAATCACATGTATACAATTTCAACCTGCATATCGCATCACCCCGAACTCATGAAGGATCCTTACTCACACCATCATCACTCAACAATTGGGACATGTTAACTAAGAATTTACACTATTTCCACCACCACTAATAGCATCACATAGATTTTCACCCTAAAGGCCTAAAGTTTTGAGAAATGGACATGTTCACCTATCATCCCTATAGAAGGTAATAATTTCTCCTGCAAGCAAGTTATCTAATGTACACTCATTATCAAAGTTTCATTAGCAAACATTGTAGATTTCCAACATGATGAGTATTTTTGTTGACCATCATCGAAGTATATTGTGCCAATTTCTTATAACCTGTTGAAGCTTTAGCTCTTTCAAAATGGTCATAATCATCATATAAAGTATAACTGCTAACTTAATTTCCTAGTTGATCATCTTATTCATAATGAAAAATTGAAAGAATTCATCTTTATTAACCTAGGATGACGAGCTTAAAAAGTATTAATCAAGAATAAATAGAATGAGCATGTCCCATTACAAACTATATATATACATAGTCTAAGTGATTCTCAGATGAGCCAAGGCTGTAGCATTAAGGTAAGAAATCTTAAGCAAAAATTAAATCATGATATCTACTAATTGTTAGATTTAATTAAATATTTTATTATTTTAATGATTTTAATAAAATTCTTTTTCCCACATCCACACACCCAATTGTTTAGGTGCTTGTCCACACCTAAAAAATAATTCAAAGGCATGAATTCATGTGATGCCAATATGTCATATCATATTCACAATATAAATTGGTGTGCTTTGTCATTATTATTGCCCTCTATAAAAAAATTAAAAAAAAAGTTATAGCTAAGTGTTTTGCTGCCAAAGGTTAATTAGCCTCATCCAACCTCCTCCCTACTTCCACACCTATAAAATTCACCTTCTTCCTTACACCCACCATTCTTTGTCCTCTCTTCAAACATGTCTTTCTCTGAACTCAAAGGCCTCAACTTCCACTTCCCTTCACACCAAACAGCAACCTTCTTCCACCTCGCCTTCAGCAAGTTCCCAGGCGAGTCTTACTTGACCCCCTCGGCCCACCCTTCCAATTTCCTCACTTCCAACTCCACTTCAGACGAGGCTGTGGAACACCCGGTCCTCAACCTCGTCGTCGAGCGGCGGCAGAGGCGAATGATATCTAATCGTGAATCTGCAAGACGGTCGAGGATGCGAAAGAAAAGGCAACTCGATGAGCTTTGTTTGCAAGTCGACCGCCTCCGTGCCGCCAACCGTCGGCTTCTTGATGAGCAGAACCAGGTAATGAAGCAACATGATGAGATTTTGGATGAGAATGATAAGCTTAGAGAGGAAGAAAGGGTGTTGAAGGAGAAGCTCAAGGATTTGATTGGTGAGAATGGACATAATATGGAGTTAATGGAGGTTGATGACGGCCCATGCAACGTAGCTCATATGAGAAAAGAAGCTATGATGATGAGTTCATATATGGCTTCGCCCTTAGTTTTTCCTTATTGAAAGATTGATCAAGTAGAATGATGAATTCCTTGTTAGCATCATTGATCTTGAGATCCTATTTATATTAATTCCTTCTGTGGAAGCTTAAGTTAGCTTCAATTAGTTGTCGAGTAATGAAAACATAAAGGAATGTAATCGCTGCTTAATTAATTGATCGAGAGCATGAAGTTTCTGCCATTTGTGCTTCTGACCAAAAAAAAAAAAAAAAAAAGGCTTGGTTTGATCATGCTTTTTGATCGGCTAGTTGCTTTATTTTTTTAATAAAAATTGATGTGTCAAGTAATATAAAAAGCGTTAAAGCTTGACAAGGATGGCTCGTGAAATCACAATCGTAAGCTTACTTGCTTAAGTGCAAATGCCACTTAACCGTCTTCCCTCTGATCTAAACACAGCTTGCATATAGCACATACGTAAGACTCGAATCTAAAATTTCTTGGCGGATAGCAAAAGCTCTCAACAAATAGACTAGTGTGAGCTAAGCCAATTGGCCTACTTGACTATAAGAATGTTCTCATTAGAATCATGCAAATTAACTCTAGAAATTATGCATGTAGGTGATCAGGCTATACCAAATTGTTTATTTTTTGGCTTTCTTTTTTCTTTTTTTTTTATGCTTATAGGTTCAAGAACTTGGGACTGCTTACATTTCTTGAACTTTTAATATTTTCAATTGATAGGTTTAGACATTATTTCTCTCATATGAACTATAATTTTATTTATAATCAATAAAATTTATTTGCCTAAAAAAAATTTCATAAGCTTAATTACTCATGAAACAAATGTTTATTAATTTCACCTACCATATCTATACATTTTCAATAATATCATCTTCTTCTTGTTGTTCTTATGCATCAGATATTGACTTCCATGACTGGTGCAAGTAAAAAAAAATAAAAAAAATCCCTCCTAGTTGCTTGTGGTTGGTTTTGAACAATGATTTGTAGTTTTCTTAGCTTGCACGCCCCTTGGATAGCCTAGGTTTGTTTGACAACCTTGGTGGTTGGTTTTCTATCAGATTTAGTGGTTTTCTATCTTTGTTGGATTTTTGCTGGTGACTTTTCTTCCTCTTTGGATGGCCCAAAGCCTGGCAACTAGGTAGCGGTTTGAGTCAGGTTGCTTTTGGGGCAGTATTTATTTTGCTTTATTTAATTATTCTATTTGGCTTCCGTCCTTTATTGTAATTTTGCTGGCTTTTTTCTTGCTCTCTTTGGTCAGATTTTGACTGGTGTTGTATTGCTCATCTTATCTAATGAATTTTATTTTGAAAGAAAAAAAAGTAAAAAAAAAAAAAAAACAATCTCTCTCATACAAAATTATAGCAGCAGTGTTGATTAAATGAGCCTTCTACCAAGACTTCTCTTCTTCTCATCTCTATGTTTTGACTTACAGTACTTGCGACCTGTGAAACTTTTCCCATTCTTAGAAATAATGAGAAAAATATTCTGAAGATGAAAAAGGGGAAATATTTCAGGTGTACTGAGAAAGAAGAAAATTTTTTAAAAAAAATGGAGAAGGTGGTGTCAATTAGTGGTGAAGGCTGAGTGGTGGAGATTGATAACCAGAACAGGAAAACAAAGAGGAAAAGTCTTCCACCAAAATATGTAAAATATTACTTTGTCAAGAGCTGAATGTTCATTTTCAGAGTGGCTGATGTGATGATGATGATGATGATCACGGTTTGATTTGTGTTGTTCTTGCTCAACTTGGCCTTTTATGGATAACGTGCAAATCGGCATGGGGCCCTCTTTAACAAATATTGTCACAAACACTTAACCATGTAGGGCTGTTTATGTAGTAATGGTTACTCTTGAGGAAACATTGGAGGCTTGTGGTGTTGGTATATGTTTCATGATTCAACAAATCATTTTTCTAAAGAAAAATAAATGTGAATAAACACATAAAAGATGTCATTATTTATTAGGAATTAGCTAGAAATGGGTAGTGCTGAACTAGCAAGTGTTAATTTTTCATAATACATATATACAGTAAAGTGATTAATTGAATCTGAATATAAAAATTAGCTGAAGCAAGATTAAAATTGGTAGCACCCTACTACTCTCGTTAATTTGAATTTGATCAGATAAAGAAAGAGAATGAACATGTTGTATTTGAATGATTATAGAGTTTTTGTTTGAGACTATTATTATTCAAGTTTGATATTTTTTAGCAATTTAAATGATTGAGTTACGCAGATCATCCAACCTTTGCTCCAAAAATTAACTAGAATGTTTTCAAATTATGAATATAATAATTTTTATCAAATTAAATAATATTACATCAACCTTCAATTTTTTATTAAGTTAAGAAAGAAAATTTGCACGGAGAGAAATATGTGAGTAATCTTTTAATCAAACAACCAAAATATAATAATTATGAAGCATAAACCCTAAATGATATTTTCCTTTCACTTAATTTCTGAAAATGAAAGAAAAATTTTATTAAAAAAAAATTCCTCATTAGTACTGAAAGTGCACCTATCATAAAAACAGAAACATTAGTTTTATGAAAAAAAAAATGATCATTACTTAAAACACTCTTCTATTTAAAAAAACATTTATCCTTACTAGAATTGACCTGCACTAGCTTCTTAACATTTGATATATATATTTTTTTAACTTAACAATATCTCTATGCAATAATTTTTTCAAAATTTAATTAATATCCCTTTAATGATTCATTATGACTAATTATTAGTTGAGTTGAAGATCAAGAATTATGATAAAATATTAAGGTTTTAAGTCCTCATATGGCCTTCAAATTAACGTGGTTAGGAATTGACACTATTAAAGTAATGTGAAAGCCTAATTTATCAGTAGTGTGAGGCTAATAAGTGGGTCACAATGTGAACTCAAGCTAACCCAAATTTTAGCTTGAGCTTGATTCATTAATCGATTTCGAACTTATTTCTATGAATTCAGGTAACCTCATGAGCGAACTTATTTATTCTTATAATTAAATTATGTAAAAAAAATAAGAAAATAATACCATAATAAAAAATCAATTGACGTGAAGAAAATGTTATATTTTTTTTATTTGTAATAACATTATATTAAAACCTTTAAATTGTAGTATATTGTAAGTGAAATTTTTATTAATTTTTTTTAAATAATTAAAGACGAGGAGATCTCGTTAAAGGTCTCAAGAATTTTCAACAAATAATTTTCATTATACTTATAACATATTTCCATTACTGAACAAACTTCTTTGTGATGTCATATCAGCATTATTTCTAACAAGCCTTCTGAACAATGAAATCTTTATGAATGCTAAAGAAGATCAATTCAAATGTTTCTATTATAATGACCTTCAAGCTCAAGAAAAAAATAATAAAGTACAATATCACCATCATTTATACATATTCGTATAAAATATACAGAAAGCTAGGTTCTATTTTACAAATTTGAATTGGCTCTGAAGCTTTGAAGTCCAGTAAGTAGCTTCTGACATTTCATGAGTAGAAGACAATGGCACTAAAAGGCTAAGAAATTCTTCAAAGTATTCATCACTAGAGAGGGCCACATCAGAGAGGCAGACATTCCGTTTGCAAGCCTTTATTTGATACATTTGGAAAGAAAGCAAAGAATAATTCAACTTTAGCAAGGTCATTCCACATAGTGCTCTGCAACTTATTTGACTAAGTATGGCTTCTGCACACTGAGACTTCATGACAAGGGAGACTAATATTATCCCAATTGGCTTTAAAGCAGCACTTCTAGAACTTTCTTAGAGATGCATGATAGCCAACTACTACCATTTGAGAATAAGGACAAAGAGTGTCAGATTTGTATCATCATCAAAATCATTAGCTTTATCCAACTATTTATGATCAATTTTATGAATTTTTTATTTTCTATTCATTCCAAGAAAATGGTAAATATATAAGATTTTTGAAGTATTCGTTTTCCTTCTTGATCTGAAGTATTAATTTTATTTACCTATGTAATATGTGTATATTTTATTTTCATTGTTGTATATGTTAGAACCATCTTGTTATGATTTTCACTATCTTCATTAGATATTAAAATGGTTAGAATTTGCTTGTTTCCGATATTTCACCTAAATTCAACAGCTTAATTCTTTCATTGTTCAAACTAACATTTATTTACATTATATATTACTAGAATTAATCCTAAAGACGTAAAACGTCATCAAAATAATGTCGAATGCATCAAACATCTTCAAAGACAATGTCGAACGTCTCTAATTTATTAAGCAACATTTCTAATTACAATGCCTAAAATATTCCATTAAAATGGTCAAAAGGAGTTTTAAATAACTTGCACTATTTACCTCTAATTTTCTTCTTCCTTGTCTAGTCAAGGTCACACAAATCACTGCATATACTTTCTTCTTCCCTATCAAACACCAACCACAATTTAAATCAAATAAATTTTGACTCATAATTCTTCTCTCTTCTTATTATTATGCTATTGGACAGGTTCAACTGCCAGCCGATCATCACATTATCATTTCTTCATTTTGCCACACATTCAGTCTGCTTATCAATGAATTTTTCACTACTTTACATTGAGATTCATACAATACAGCTGAATTAATTTCAATCTTAAGTCACTTTGAATAACATAAAATACATCATCATCATTTTCACTCTCTCATCTTAAAAGTCTTATTTTTATCATTTGAATTTGATTAATAATGACCTTTTTTAATGCTCAACATTCCAAGTCATAACCAATCTAAGCGCAGTACTACGTCAATTTGCAGGTCTGTAAAGAGATCATCATCACTTCCACTCCTCGCATCTTGTAAAGTCGGCAGCAGCAGAGCCTTCCAAGAAACACTATCTACAGTATTCCAGCAGCAAGTGCTCAACCGAATAGAGGAAAGAACCAAGGAAGCCATTGGATGCACAGATAAAAGAAGCTTTCAATAGCCTAAAAGATGACATGGCTGGCACACACTTTGGAACTGTGCATGACTTTGAATATTGTAGACTATTTCATAAAATAATTCAACAAACTTAAAGATATAAAACTCATAACTAATGCAAAGTTGAATAAAACATGAAGGAGTTGCAAGAACTATATACTGAAATGGAAGAGGATTAAAGCAGACTGAACAACTATTATTGAATTTAAAAAAAAAAAAAAGTTTGAAGAAAAAACCGACATGAAGGCTTCTCTACCAAGAGGCTAAAAGGTGGTTGTTCAGCTACTTCATTCCAGCAAGTACAGTGGCTGCCTGACGAGCAAAGTATGTGAGGATAATATCTGCACCAGCCCTTCTAAGGCATAACAGTGACTCCATCATCACCTTTTCTTCATCCACCATTTTAAGAACACCACCAGCTTTGATCATTGAATATTCACCAGAAACCTTGAACAATAAAAGATGAAATATATTATAAGGCTTGCAGTTTTTTAGTGGTGTTTATATCCGGGGCAACTAAGGATTTAATTATTATAATTACAGTTTTTTAGTGGTGTTTAATTATGGTAGTTTAGCATGATAAAAGTGCTTAATCAATTGATTAAGCACATTAAATTATAGTTAATTATCTATTATGTTAAATTACAAACTAATTATAATTTTAATTAACATGGTTAATATTTGAAATACTGATAAAGTTTTACTTTGACTGATTAGATTTTTATTAACTTGTAATACTGCTCAAACTGTTGGCAGTGTTGGAGCACTACTACCCTTGTTAAATTCTGATGCAATGTGTCACACAAGCTTTAGAAGCTAATCTTATCGTTTAAATTGCTCAAAATATTCAAGAAATTCAGTAAGCTATTAAGTCAACACAACGGATCACCATAAGCTCATCAATCATTGCTGGAACCCACACAAACCAAACCATACTAAATGCGCATAGAACTCAAGTGAACTAGATGACTCTAGTTGTTCAAGCTTATAAATTGATTGGAATCCCACATATTATACAAACTGGGGGTGGAGAAAGAGACTGAGTTATGGAGCAATTCTTGAAGACTCATCTTCCTACATCTTATCCAATAATAAGCCTCATTATAATGATAAGTAACTCAAAGGGTTGAAGTGCTCTAAGGAGGACCACAAAGTGGACATGACAACATTTAAGCTTCATGAAAGTGTTGACTACTGATGTGAAAGACATCATTACAACAACTTTGAAAACATTGCAGTGATATATTGGGCAAAATTTGAAAGTTTATTCTTAAAGCACTATTTGACCATACACAACTAATGAGTGACTTCAAGAAATTAAAGCAATGATTAAAGATCATTTAGGGGTATGAGACTAAGGCTTCATTTGAGACGACTTTCTTTCTGCTTCTTAAAGCAACTTTCTAGTATAAAATTTTAATTTTTATACTAGAAAGCTGCTTTATGAAGCAGTAAGAAAGCCGTCCCGAACGAAGCCTAAATTTGATTTATTTATTCTATTAAACAACAACAAAATTAGAAGATTCAGTTTTTTATACATGACTTGAGAGAGGATAGTAGAAAGTGTTTATATACCTCAAATTCGCTTCTTATAGGAAGCCAGTCGATCAACCAATACATGTCAAGATAGAGATCACTACTTATGAAGAGAAGAATATTAGAAAACAAAAGGATGTAGATGCTTAGGCAAGTGGAGGTTATAATAAAAGCAGCATACGAACAAACATAGTAATTTGATGTAATGAACCGTTGGGTGGCCGATTCAACCGAACTGGCCAACCCGCCTTTTAATAGCCGCGACCCCAAAAGGGGTCGGTATTGGCTGTTTCGCGAAATAGAGCGCGGAAGGGGGGGCGGACGATCGGATCTTCGCGCGAAGGCTTGGGGAGACTTTCTTACGCCAATTTTAGCAAACGAACGCGTTGGAGGGTAAGATTTAACAACTCCTTTTCGTTCTTATTGTTATAGAAGCAAAGGTTTGGGAGAATTTGCAACGAAGGGAAGAACCGACGAGGAAAGAAAAGAAAAAAGGTTTGTTGATTTTTCTTTCGGATTTCTCGTATAAATTTCCTTCCTTTACTTCATTCAAAATGAATGATATGTTTCTTGAAAGATAAGGAAGGGATTCAAGTGAAGAAAAAGGAATTTGTGAGAAAGAAGGATTTTGAGAGTTTGAGAAGTTTCTATTCGAAATTGTAAGTGAATTGAAAAGAAATGACATATGAAATTGAATAGAAATGTTATGGTAAATGTAAAAGAAAGGAAAATGATATATATGAATATTTCAGGAGTTCACCTCCTTATGGTACTGGCTGGGGACGCCGTACTCATGCACGTAAAAAGGAAAAAGAAAAGGTAATGGAAATAGAAAAGGAAAAATGGAAAAGGTTATACTTTTGAGTACATTAAGACGGTGCTCCTGTATGAATTAAATGGGAAAAGGAAATAATCAAGATTGTTTTAAATGTTTTAAAGCAAAATGATCGAATATGTATAAATTATCGAAATAAATGGAAAAAGTGGAATGAATGGTTAAATACATGTTGAAGATTATAAGAGTATTGTAAATAAAAACATTTATTTTAATTGTTCAAATATTTACCCACTAAGTTTACTTAGTAAACTCAACCCACGAGTTTAAATGTTTCAGGTAAGTTCTTAAAGAAGAAATGGTTGAAAGAGAAGAACATGTTTACAGAAGACGACGTGCAGATATCAACAGGTAATTTATATTTTGTGTTTAGTGGCTCTTTAGCAAAAGAAGTTGTATAATCGAAAAGAAATTTTATCGTCCGACTTTTCGTACCCGCCTCGTTAGATCGAGCATCCGGGCCAGGTCGTGACATTTGAAATGGGCGAGCAACCAGAGAATAAAGCTCTAAGGGCAACTCCCATTTCTCTCATTATGGATATTGGAATATTAGACCTTCTAATTTGATTGTGGGCAAGTGTTTTAACCGCTATAATCCTGGTCATAACTTCTAAATTGCTCTATGAACAATTGAGAATAGTTCATTTTGAGAATTGCACATGAAGATAATTCAAAACAATTTCAATATAAGAATGGATGATAAAAACTTTCGTAAAGGACATTAAAGTTTGGTGTCAAAGGGCAAACAAAGAAATACAATCTTAGCCACAGCTACATCAATGATTTTTGGCATCGCAACCATATCAACAGTAATAACTGACAGATTATTAGTAGCCACAACCAGCTCAAACTCAAGAGCAGCCCATTTAGACAACTCCACCTTGTGTCTTCACTATAGCTCAACAGGAAGGTCGAGAGGCTCCTGATGCATTGACATTTACAATTTCTATTTTGAAGTAATTAACAAAGATTTTTTTTTTTACTTTGAGATATCATTTTTTTTTATATCAGGTAAATTTACATTGAGGTCACGAATTTCTAAATTACAACCACATTTGTCAACTATTACGCCATTTTGATCCAAGCACGATAGTCGCACATTTGGTTCATGCATGGTAGTCGATTGACACATTCACGACTGATATTATTATCAATGATATATACACTAAATGTATTCTCACAAGCTAAGTTTGATGTGATTTTGGGACTGAATTTGTTATCTACCTGACATTATTATTGACTATCAAAAAAAGAAAGTGAATTTTTGTATACCCAATGCTGCATCTTTTAGTTTTAAGGGTACTAGGGGAGCCTAATTTATTGATATTTGCACTTAAAGCAAAAAAAGGTGCATAATACTTAGCAATCCAGATGATTCTCTACGTTCGGAGTCTGTACAAAATAATTTCTCCAATGTGTGACACCAAGAGTGTCCAACACCCTGGTATCATAAAGAGTATTCATAAGAAATATCGATGGTTTTCCATCTACTAGCCTTTATGAGCACCAGCATACTAGAAACCATCACATAACTGGAAAGAAAAACAATGAGTGCTTAACAAAAGCTAGAAAACAACAAAGACCATTTAGTGAACCTATCTCTACTGTTTCGAGCTCAAGAGGAGGGGAGCGTATAAATTTATAGAAAATTACTCTTGGTTTTCAGCGAATTGCCTACTGTCATTAAGCTAGACATTTTGCTTATTTGGTTTACTTCTTTAGTAGTCTATTCATCATTCTTCTTGAGTAGATATGAAACTTACTCACAAGATTGGGATTATGTATTTTGTATTCAGAAGATAAGCCTATAAAAACTTTACATCCCAAAGGTAGAGCATTTATATAAGTTCCACGGTTTGCTAAAATAAATTCAAAAACACTATAATATTTTTCCTTTCTTTCTCTATACACAAAACTTCTTCAGCAAACCAGATCTTGATGGAAAAAGCAAATGTATTAATATTAAAGGTTGAGTGCACAAAATGTAGACGTATGCTTCCCATCTAAAGAAAAAAAAAATTAAAGCTTAGAAGTTACCAGGAAGAGTTACTGTAAAACCATTTTACCTGGTAAGCAGCAATTGGCAAAGAAGAATTATCTCGAAGAAGACGAATTATATCCAAATATGGCAGCCCTGGTTTTACCTGCCAAAGAGTTTAATTAACCTCAGCTAAGAAGACAAAGGGAAGCACAAATTGAGGAAACATACACAAAATATACTAAAAAAGTTTACCAAGAGAATATCAGCTCCTTCAGCATCATCAGCTTCCATTTCAATAAGGGCTTCTCGATAGTTAGCTGGGTCCATCTGATAACTTTTGTTGAACAAGCAAAACAAACAGCTAATCCCATGCAAGTAGATAAATAAATGAATAAATACAAATTAAATTTATAGGACCCTTACGTTTTCTTATCACCAAATCTTGGATTTGAATCTAAAGCTTCACGAAAAGGGCCATAAAAAGAACTGGCATACCTGAAGGAAATGCAAATCACAAAGAAACACTTCATACTCATAATTTTTTTCAAAATTTACTGAAGATGAATAGGTTAGAAGATTAAACAAAAGCATAAGAAAATACTTTGCAGTGTAAGACATAATGGAGACATCCTGAAAGCCTTCAGCATCGAGAGCAGCTCGAATTGCTCCAATGCGCCCATCCATCATATCACTGGGGCTAACTATGTCAGCACCAGCCCGGGCCTATATGCAATATCATTATGTGTCAGATTGAAATGAGATAGAGTTAATAAGAGGTTCAAAAGATTGGAAAATTTAACCATACTTGAGAAACTGCTTGTTTACACAACTGATGAACAGTTTCATCATTCATGATGACACCTATTCAATGGACAAAATGGAACATAGATATTAACAAAATGAAAATTCAAAATCTTACAACTAACCCAAATGAAAAATACAAGTGATAGTGACACAATATTGCATTCATAATGAACTAAACACCATTGGGTTGTCCAATTACCTACGAATTTAATCCAAATGATCTTCTCAAAGATGAAGACTAAAAAACTGATAAGGCTATTTTTTTCACATTTGTACAATATATTTAATTTGGGAAAGAAACTGGGTCTGGATATCTTAACCCTATTTCCATCAAGATGAACTTCAAAATTTGATATATGACATCTGTCCTGCTGTCACATATAAATGACTTAATATTTTATTATTTGATCATATATTTCATAGCAAATGTCTTCATTATTTTGACTTTCACTACAAATCAAAATCACATAATTTCAAGTCATTCAAATTAATAGAAATGTCATGTGGTAATTTTTTAAGCCTGATCAAAATTAGGTCAAGAGTATTCTGACCAAATTTTCTTCTTTCATTTGATCACTCTTCCTACACTTCCACATTTTCTTGCTTGGCTCAATTCATGAGATTTGGGAATGGTTTTAGGATTGCTAGAGAGATCAAGGTGTTTAGGGGAAGAAAAGGGAAAACAAAGAAGAAGAAAGAAGAAAAACTCTGTTTGCTTAGGTGGCAGGGATGGGCCTGCATAAGAATGACCATGGAGATCATCAGTTAAAATGAACGTGCCTTCTTTTGGAAAGGACAAGGCAGAAATTTAGGGGAAAAAATAAGATCAGGAGCTCCGCTTAAAAGGTTTGATCATAAATGCAAGGAAACTATTCTAAAACAACAAACCATTTTGTATAAACTACAAGACATTAATTAAAAAAAAAAAACAAGAGAATTTCTTTTAAATTTATATAAAATATAAGATAGTTATATGTAAACTACGTAAATACGGTTCTGTAAAACTAAAAAGACAGGTCTTTTTTCTATTCCAAGAATAAACTCCAATCATTACTTTTTTGAAAGATAAAATTTTGAAAGTTTTGTTTTGTTTATATGGGACTATTTTGTTGTTTAAGAAAAACTATCATCCGCTTATGATCAATTTTTTACGAGGAACTTCTGGTTTTTTTTTTCAAAAATAACTTATTTAAGAGGAGAGACACATAGCAATCATTAGGTTTCCCATTGCCACTTAGAAGAAGTGGTGGATCTAGGTTGCAAAATCTCGTGATTCCAACTTAAATTAAACTATTTTCTCATAACAATTCTCTTCATTATCTTTATTGAACCCACTTCACCTCCTCATTGCATTCTCTCTCTCTCTCTCTCTCTCTCTCTCTCTCTCACTTTATTGAACCCACTTCACCTCCTCATTGCATTCTCTCTCTCTCTCTCTCTCTCTCTCTCTCCCCCCCCCCCCTTTCCAGATGTGAAGTCACAGTTGTCACCCTTTTTTATCTTTCTTCATAAAGATAACAATCAAAAGTTTATCGAGGTGAATAAATTTAGAAATCACTTGAGCTCACAAAGAGCGAATGTCCAGTTGAGAATATTACTAAGATTCATTCTCAAAACCCTCTCTTGCCAGTAAGAACATGGCCCATGTCCTCTAACTGCGGGTTTCGCCAAATGGCACAATAGGTAAACTATTATGATTGGGACCCTCTGATTGGTTGGTTTTGCCGCTAAATGATACAACTAAATTACAGTCACGGTCAGAGCCCAATGTTCCCTAATGACTCTAAATCCTGTAGTAATGAATCAATAGTGTATAATCAATAGGGCAAAAAGTCCTTTGTTAGCTAAGGTGGACTCAAATATGTGTCCCATCGGACAAATATTCACTCCAAGTCTACAAGGCCCCTTTAGATGACACAACTCATAATTGCTGACAATGATCCTTCTATAAGATTGGGTCAACTACCTCCTCCAACAAAGTAGATTAGGACCACGATAGCCCATAACGACAAAACCATAGGATCTAAATCGGGCACATCATTATTCTCCCATCACTAGCTTTAAGTGTACGCTGATACTTTTCAAATCATAAAGTCCTCGCAAAATGAGGGCAAAATGTCTAGGTAATGCTTTATTTAAAATTCAATTTGTCTTCTGAAAATTTACTCTGGAACCTAAACTCATTAAAACTCTCATTGCTGAGAAAAAATAGCGTAGAGAGGCCGAGGTGCGAATTTTTGGATCCCACATAAGTCAGTGTCATGCCAAGCAGCTTAATTTTTTTTTTCAACATTTTAATGCTAAGAGTTATTTGATCATCACTATAAGCAAACAGTGAATTGATGCATAATTAGTATTTCTATTTTTCATATGGTGATCTCTTCAAGGGCTCACTAAGTTGCTTGTAATTAATCTTGTAAAAGTTTCATCTTTTTCTAAACAAAAAACAATTAAGATCTAAAAATATGTATACTAGAAATGCTAATCATGAACTAAAATTGATGATTATTAGATGATTTCTTGATTTCCTACGTCAAGAGAGATGCATTCAAGATTATTTGAGTTAACTTTACAATATCTTCGAAGTATGAAAACCTGTAATGTTCAATTTTAGCATATCTTCAGGCAACATGGAGTGTAAATATTATGTATTTATGTAGGATTCTATTATGTTATAAGTACATTTTTTGAATAATTTGACTATAGAAATCATTATGAAATTTTGTTTTTTATTTTCTCCATATTTTGAGCATTTTAGGGGATGTTTGGCAGTAGTATTTTAGGGGATGTTTGGCAGTAGTAGATAGGATTGATGTCAAAGAGGATTTAGTAAATCTAAGTGATGTGAGGCATGAGTTGAGTTACACAAGATTAAGAAAGGAGATTGAATAATAGCTTAACCGTTTATATAATCATGCTTTAAATTAAAATCGGTTACAAGAATTCGTAGTGTTCCTCTTTGCTTAGGCAAAGGAATTACAAGGAAAATTATCCGAACAATTTAAGCCAAAACAAAGGAAAACGTAAAGTTAAAAGGTAGTGATTTGAATCTAGCGATTAATAAGGAGTTGTTCACCTTGAAACCTCTTCTCTCTTCCCTACGATACTAGGTTGAGCGGCGGAAGATCGTCCAAGCTAGAAGCGATGTTGCCACGAGGAGGGAGGAGCCAATGAACGTCGTCGTGGAGAAGAAACTTGGAGGTGGAGGTGGAGGTGGCACGGAAGGGTGGCCTTTGATGATCCACGTGTACTCTGAAAACTGGTCGTCGACGGCGTCCACTAGTGTTGGGAGGATCCGATCCAAGTACTCCTCGATGGTGTTGTCGAAGCCAAATCCAACGTCGAAGAAAGGAGATCTAAGGACGTGGATGCCTCCGTAGATGTCGTAGAAGAGTCCGTGATCAACGGCGGGATCCGCCATGCAACATGGGCTTGAAGATGAGAGGTCACGAAGAAACCCAAGATAGAAGGTGGGGCGGCGTGGAGAGGGGAGGCCGGCGGTAGAGAGAGAGAGAGGGGTTGTGGTTTATTTTAGAAAACTGAAATTAATTTCAGTTTTAGAGAGTTGGGAGGGAAATTAATTGAAATCCAATTTGGGTTCCAAATAAAGGGGGAGGGATTTGATTTGAAAATTCAAATCAATCCAAGGGGAGGAGATGGGCGACAATAGGGAAGGATTTAAGGCTGATTTAGTGGAGCATTTAATTTAATTTGGGGAGAGAGGAGAGCCATTCAAGGGGCCGGCCATAAGTAGTGGAGAGGGAGCAATTAATATTAATTGAGTGGGCCCTCTAGAGAATAGACCACGGTGGAAGCAAATTTGAAATTTGATTTTCAGATTTGTTCTACTAGGAAAGTTTTCTAACTGATATTAAGCCATTGGATCCGTGGAATATAGCAGGTAATTGAAAAAAAAAAATAAAAGGCTACTTTCCTAAGTGATCCAGATGTAGATTAGGAAAGAATTTGAAGGCATTTGAAATTGAATTTCAATTCATGGGAGTAAGGTGGCTGGCGGGCTGACGTGAGACGGGCATGGAAGAGGGGAGTGGGATCGGCAGGAGCTTGGTAGAGGGGGAGAAATTGGCCAGCGGCCAATTTTCTGGCCGGACTAACAGGGCCAGCGGCAAGAGGGAAGTGGGGAGGGGATTCCAGGGCCTGGAAGCAAGATGAAAACTGTGGAGAAAAACTTGGAATTTTCTAACCTCACACACCTCTTCTTCAAGATCTCAAAGGGAGATTGTAACGATGCCGGAACTCACAAAAAGATCCACGAAATTCCCCTCAAGAACTCACAAAGAGAACTAGGGGAACAGAGAACTCACAAAGAGATCAAAAGTAGAAGATTTTATTCAATAATTCATTAGCCTCATACAAGATACATGAGCCATATAAATAGGCTCTAAATGACAATAAGTGCAAAGTCTAAAATGCCCCTTGGGCTACAAGAGAAAACAAATACCCACAAGGGTAAAATGGGAAAAACTGAAAGTAAATAAGTAATAATAAAAATGCAGATACAAATAGCCATCAGTAGTACAGACTCTCCATCATAGCCGTCGATCTCCGGTGTCATCTCTGATAAACGCGCCGGAATCTCCTGTCGATGCCCCCATCACTAAGGAGTGTTAGATCTCAAAAAATTTTGGATGTAATTTAGACGATTTAACAGGAGACGAAGCGAGAAGAGAATATTATCTTAATTGACATAAACCTAAGCAACCATTTCCTCTTACATGTAGACAGCTTTTTGAACCTACCACAAAATGTCAAACAATAAATTTTCTAACCCTTGAGTTTAACATGTTTAGTACCCCCAATTCTTGAATAAAGATATTTGTTATCATAGAATAAGACACAAATCATGTGCTCATTATTACAAGTTATAGATATTTGAGTTCTCATTTTTTGTCAAGCACAGCATATATGGTAATGTAAGACAAGCATGAACCCCCATCTTAATTAATAAAAGAAAGTAAAGAAACAACAAAATAAATATAACTAATAATCCAGAAACAAATAGTTTTAATAGAATAAGACCGTCCAATATGACAATGAGGCTTTCAAAATGAGACTAAAGAAAAGAGAGTTGAGAGATAAGATCAATTGTATCTCACCATCCTCCCTCACAATACCATCATGCCCATCAGAAGAATATGGATCCAAAGCTACATCAGTATAAATCACCTGTATTGGTGGTTTGAATATTTCAGTAAGTTAAAAACTCAACCAGAAGTAAAAATTGAGAGGATTTTACTAACAATGTCAGGAAATTTGTCCTTTAGTAGGCGTATTGCTCTAGGGACTAGACCATTGTCGTTGAATGCTTCATCTCCTGTTGGAGACTATAAACAAAGAAATAGGCTACCCTTACTTTCAAAAGATCAAGAAAAAAAAACAAACTGAACTACAATATAAAATACAAACCTTCAATGCATCAGGGATCTTGGGAAAAAGAACGAAGCTCTTGACACCAACATCTTTGGCCTTGTAGACCTACATGAAGTGGAATATTGTCGATAAGACGTGTAAGATTGGTTCATATTTTTAGATGTTAGAAGTGAAAAACAAAAACAAATTATGCTCCGTGAATGCTCGTGTTTTGGAAATATAGTACTAACAGCATCAGAAATCACAAAACAATAAACAATAACTATTACTTAAAAACTGGATATGGCAATATTCATAATATTTGACTGAGTGGGGAGTCAGGAAGGGAGGGAGAGAACGAACAATAACTACCTCGTCAAGAAGACCATGTCTCCATCCCAATCTGAAGCAACCTGGCATAGCTCCAATTGGGAAATCCTCTTCACCTGAATAAGTAGAAGAATTATTAATTATGTAATATCTAAACGTAACACAGTTAATTCTAGTTTGAGTGGTAAACGGCTATGCTAATCAAGCTAGTCCTTACGAGCATAGATCATCATTATCATAATCATTAGTAGGCTTATCCCAAACTTTTGCAATAAGTTTATGAATCCTGCTTAATATTCTTGATGTAGAACTAAATCCATGTATTGTGGCATAGCGTCTTCCCGCATTATCCACATGGGGGGGGGGGGGGGGGCGCTTCATAGATGCTTAGTTTGAACTTCATGTAATGGGACATTATGCAAGACATTAGACATTTACCTAGTATTAGGTTGTTTTATAATTTTCATTCTCCTACACTTATTATGTAATTGTACAAAGGCTCCTAAATATTGAAGTGTATCATTTTTATTTTAAAAGCCAATGGATTTTGAAATTAAAAATTCCTCCGTTTATTGGAATGGCCAGCCCTTGCCTCCCCTTCCCCTTCCCCTTCCTCTCCTCAACTCTTGCTGAATGTGATAAGGACCACCTAGCTGCGTGCAAGGATTTCCCTATTGCGTTTAAGGATTCAGAAGAAGGATGTTGATATGTCCTATGTTCTTCATCCTATTGTCAAGCAAAAAAAAAAAATTCCTATTGAGCAATCCAAACAAAAGAGTTATCATTCCAATTACACAATTTTGTCTAAATCATGTTTTTATTAATTCCATTGTTTTTTCACTTTATTCTCCATCATTTGGCATTAGAACTTGACTTCATCTTCATTGTCGTGGATAAATCTTTTAAAATGGATCACTTATTGCCTTATTAAAAGATTAACAATGCCTCTTAGATATTTAAACAAATTGCCCATCTTCATTTCCTTTCTTTAATCATCATGTCTAATCAATGGATTGGTTTTGTTTGTTATTTTTTAAAACAATTTGGAGATTAATTGGAACTCAATCGAAATACTCAGCTTTTCAAACTCAAACAGAGGGTAAAAAGATGTAGTTAATATACAATTCAGCAATTTATTGAGTTGTTTGCTAGGAAAAGGTACCAATCTACACCTTCCTACAATGACATGTGCATATAATGGTACCATTTTAAAAAATTGGGAAAATTACCTTTTCAAATTATTAGACTTTGTCAACCCAATACCCATCTCTACATATTTGAGTTTGTATCATCATTTGCAAAGAATATAACAAATATTATGATGATGTTCGAAAACAAATTAAGTGGCAAACCAATAAATATTTCAAAAAATTGCTAATGCAATACATAAACATTAGAAATATAACGAAGATGACAATGTTACATTCCAAATGATACCCAAAATCTATATGGAAAACATTCAAAAAAGCAAAACACTATTGCCTCTAGCACTTATCAAATTATTTGGAAGTTAGAATTGAATGCTCATATTTTAAACTTGCTACCTGATATGTTCATAAGAGTAGTGTTAAAGATATAACATGTTAGCAAGTGGAGTCTCTTCTGCTCCTACACTAGTTGTAGTACTCCATATAGGCTCACTAGCATAGGATATTGACTAGATCATTATTGATGATGAGACATTGGCCCGCACTAGTACCCAAAATTACCTTGCTCATTAAGATCATCAACCTCCTATAGATGACATTCGGAAGGATCACTACATACTTAAACATATAGGCCCTACCTCTTGGCCAAGCACTTCACTTCTAACTCTCTGAAAGCAAGTTATTCCTATCAGTGAGGAATAAATATAACAATAGATCCGTTTATTATAGCTCAATATCATCCTATGAATCATAGCATGACAAAATCCTAGATCATTCATGTTTTGTTTCATAGATCACATGTATTAGGATTTTTATGTATGTTTGAATAATATTAGTAATTGGACATCATAAGAGATATTAGTATATTCCATATTTATCTAATTTAAGGTTATTTTATCTTTGTTCATCTTCATAGGAACTTATTATGCAATTATACCAAAGCTTCAAGCTGCCTAACGGACAATTTTTCATTTTATGAGCTAATGACATTTTGAAATTAAACAACTCTTTTTATTTGAGTGGTCAGCAGCGCTTGCCTCCCTTCTCCTTCCTCTCTTCAACTCTTGGCAAGTGCAAGCACTGCCCTAGTGCAAGAATCTAAAAGAACAATGTCACATGCTAAATTTTTCATCCTACTATAAAGTAATAAAAAAATTGTGATATCAATTCCCTTGCAATCATGTTTTAAATCGTGTTTCCATTCATTCTTCCAGGGTCAATTGTCAGTCTCCATCACTTCTTCTCCATTCATCATTGTGAGTGAGTTTATGTATTTAGTTTATGTAACTTTTTAAACCCAACCTCTAGCAAGTAATTTTTTGCTCCACCGCCCTACATTCAAAATTCTTCCACTCTGAAATGAAGTTTGCTACAAACATAAATTCAATAACGCCTCTCCCACAAGCTCTCTAAATCTAAAAATTTATCTCTTATTCTTTTCTAGTTGCATTAGACATGAATCTTAGCATTCTCATACGTTTACACATAATTTGGTTGTTAATATTTTCTGTTACAAAAACTCAGTTCCATTCAATAGAAGCAGAGATGATATCAACATAAATTCTTAAGTACAGCTACTAAAACTCCATTTCGACCACTGACCTTCATGAATAAATAAAGGAAGAACAAAATTTGCAGCTGATATAGTGGTTTCCTGGAAAGTAGACCTCAGTGTAGAAGACTTTCGATTTCGACGAGGACGTCTAGTAAGCACCTAAACAATTAGACAGCATTAAGGCATCAATGAAAAGAAAAGTAACACAAAATAGAACTACCAATTTCTCATTTCCAGTGCTTATAGAAAATCTAAAACCTGGGAAATTATAACTTAAAACTATAGAATTTGCTTCCAGAAAGATCAAACCATTTCCAGAATTCATCCTATCAAATTATGCCTAGCCTTCATACTTGTAAAATCTATAAGATCATACATACAAGTGGCTTCACGACTGGAGTTCCTTTTGGGCCTGCTGGCTTAGTAAGAAGTGGAGGATCAGGGAAATTTCCAGCCACAGCATTGGCTTCACATTCCTCAATGCTCAAGCCTTTGCTCTCAACACTTGTCTCCTGCTCTCTGCTTGCTCTAATAACAGCAAGTTTTCGAGTCTTCAAGCCAACACATTTCTCGCTATCAATTCTTCTCGCAACTTGAGGGTTACATGGAGTTAAAGAGAGCATGGAAGCCATTTTCAATGTCGTAAGCATTTCTTCTGAACTGTTCCCTCCTTTAGCAGAAGAGAAAAAGCACAAATAAGCATTTCTGAAACTCAAACTCCTTGCTTGATAACAGTAAGTTGTTAAGCTAAGAACAAATTCAAATTAAAAAAAAAAAAGACATAATTTGACTGTCTTTCAGTTAAAGACTAGCAATTTCAAACATTTCAGTGACATTACAACTCATGGGGGGCGGGCGGGGGGTACTAAAGCTCCTTCGAGAAAAGATGAAACCCCATATTTAGCAAGAAAAGAACAACAAACCATCCAAACCTAATAAAAATAATATTTTCGTTAATCTGCTGAGAAGAAATGGTAGCAATCAACAATTTAGTAGAGAAAAAACAAACCAAGTTAGATTTTTAATCAAGCGACGATGTGACCATGCATTTCTAGAACTGAGCGAGAGATAAACTATAACTAATACGAGGCAGGTCTGAAAATTTTGTAAGGGAAGGAAAAAAAAAAACAAAAGAAAAAATAAAGGTAATTTTGCGCGCAAAATTAGATCTTTTGGGGAGTGAAAGTGACGAGGGGTCTGGGTACCTTGGATGCTGGAGAGACGAGGGTATTCTAAGGCGAAGTAGCGAGATCGAACTTTATCTCCTACGGTCCACAATATCTGATTCAGATTTCCGTAGCTTTTCTTATGCCTCAATACAAAATCGAGTTGCGTTTCCTCTCAAGAAATTAAAAACTCCCAAATAGCATACTTTGCCTAATTTGGGACGGCTTTTTCACCGCTACTTAAAAGCTGTTTTTTTAATAAAAAAATTTTGAAAGTAATAAAAAATAATAATAAAAAGTTAGTTTCAAATAAAATATAAATCTCCTTAGATTATTTGAGAATTTTATTAAGATTATTCAATATTATAAAAATCGGAACGGGCGTTGAGCCAAAAAACTGAGAGGTTCAAGTTTTAATGGTTTGATTAGGGTTGAACCGGGAGTTGAACCGAATAATGTAATAAATATTATAATTATTTGATAAAAAATAAATAACATAATAACGATATAATAAATATGAGCATGTTGTGTTCTAATTGACCTGGCAATTTGATGCTAAGCCAGTTTTTAAGCCAAACCGAACCGGACAAATGATCGGCTCACAATTAAGAGCTTACATTGGGTGGTGGGATATGTGAGCATGTTGTGTTAGTTCTTAGCTGGAAATTAGACTTATTATAAAATTAAAATATTTATATGTAAATTAATTTATTAAAACTTTTAAACAATTAATATTATTGCTAGAAAAGCCCCAATTCAATAATATGTTCAGAAATTTATATGAGAAAAATCAACCATTGAAAAACTCAATTGCATATAGCCAAATGTTTGTAATAAAGAGCAAAATAACATACAAGAAATCACACGATGAAAACTTCATAAAATTTAAGAGAAATGACTTTTTTTCCTATAATTTTTAATAAATTTATTGTAATTCAAATTTGAGGGGTTTAGGAGTTTACTTGGAACTCTACAATTTCCTAAGCTTGCCCAACAGATGAATCTAGGATCATGGCCATGGCCTCTAAATTTCTTCTCTCTTTCTCTTTCTTCTTTCCCTTTCCTTCTCCTTCTCTCTTCTCTGGCAATCCTAGGGTGGTGGTGGAATAAGCGAGATATTTTTATATTAAACTTTCCATAATTTTAAACTAACATCACGGTGCCTGATTATCCCTACAGCACAACAGTCCAGGGAAATCTTTTTGATGCCCCCAGAATATGCTCACCTGAGACTCAACGCCACAGTGGATCTTCCCGATGTTACGATGTTCCCCCATGCCTATTTATTTGTTGATTTTCTTGGGAATTCAGTTCTACATAGCTGTATCTTCTTATACTGCGGTGCCCACGTAACAAAATCTATTTTTAATTCCAAACCTTAGTTACTTTATACCCCATTCATAATGCTAAGACTTTTAAGTATCAATTAACTTAAAATTGAGGATTAGTTATACAAAATCATCTGGATTTGATGACAATTGTTACATACCCACCAATGCTCTACTTCCCCATCTAGAAGAAAAACTACTAGTGCCTTCCTACCCTTAGTATACTACAATCAAATGATTTCTCCAGCCTAAGTAACCAATCTTCTACGGCCTAATTAAGAATGTACAACTCCTTGAAAATGGGGATATTTCAAATTAAAAATAACTTTAGATGATGATCTATCTTATCTCCCTTCGCACCTATCATCCTGCTCTGGGCTTCTCCCATCAATTACGTGAAAGTTCAAAGGAAGGTGTTAAGCCTTGTTGAAGTGTCCCTAGGCACACCAACAGGGAGGGGGAATAAGTTAGTTATTTAAAAATTTATGTAACCCAAAGAAACATCATTTTGAAAACTTTAATAAATTAAACTAAATAATTTGATCACTATATGTGGAAGCTAATAAATTTAGCAACAATTATAGTGATAGTAATGATAATTTAATCAAATCAATCTAATATCAACCACAATTTTTTTAACATGTGATTTTCAAGAAAATAAACATAAAGTGAGAAAAATAAAATACATAAATGAAATAAGAACTAGCACACTAGAATTTTATAGTGATTCAGTCAAATAATGACCTACGTCCACTCCTCGGAGTCCTCCTCTCCGGGTATTACAGTAACTCTTAGTGTCTCTCTTTTGTCCCCCACAGCAAGACGGAGAAGCACTTAAAAGAATCACTTCCATCAACTTGGAGTGATGGAGAATCAGAGCTCGTTTCACCCTCCTGTTGTAACTCATGCTCCTGAGTTTATGATTTTGATGATAATAAATATTATTGACTGCCTCTTTATTTATCCTAGTATTTATAATACTTATTTGTTTGTGTTTTAATTAAAATTTCAGGTACAACATGCACCTTATTTGAAGATTCAGGACACAAGATCGGGCATAATAGGATATACTGAAAGAGTATGTAATTTTTATTTATTTATTTTTAATTTCTTGAATCAAGTCTTGTAAAGATATATATTATCATGGTGACATTGCACACACACAAATTGGGAATAAAATAACTTTAAATATTTTAATTTTTTTATGACCTCATACTGTACTATATGGATCGTACTATATAAAATGGTGTTACATAAATTAATAAAATATTTTTTTTTTGAAAAAAAAATAAAATATAACTATTCATACAATATTAAAACTACATCATGTTTGATGATCTGTTATAATTAAAAACCTCGTCGCTCATTAAATTAGGAAAATTTTTAAATTTAAAAGATATATATTTGTACTGTATGATCCTAATCATATTGTACAATATTTAAAATATTGTTTAATTTAATCTTATGATTAATCAATCGAATCTGCTTAATTTATATATTGTGATCATATTGTACCAACTAGATTATAATATATGATCAACAAAGATAATATTCGGTCATCTAATGATTCATCATGGACGAACTGCATTTCGGTTGAACTAATCATTCTATATGATCAGTCATTCGTATTGATGATCGTGCATCACAAACATGCAAATTTGAACCTTTTGTAGTGTACTAATTGGTGATATTATAATACTAACATATCAAAATTTGCAAATCGTACTGTACTATATTAAACGACTTAATTAAATTTTTAGAATTTTTTTAAGCCCTCTATTTAAGATTTTTTATAAGATTTTGTGATAGTCTTTTGAGCATTCATTGAGATATTTTCTTTATGAGAAAGCTTGAAGAGAGAGCTTTGGGCTAGGGAGAAAAACAGTGGAGTTTGTAAGAGAGGGAGAATATCCTTATGGGTTTCAAGGGAGTGTGAGAGAGGGTTTTCACATGGTTGCTCCGGCGAACTTGTACCAGAGTTCCTCCAAGAGTCAAGGTTTGTCTTGAGGGAAGCTTTGGGAAGAAGACCTCTTTGGTGTCAAAAGATCGGGCTACTCCACCTTAACGGGGAAGGTGAAAGTGAATCAGGATTCTCTACCTCACTAGGAGCTTGAAAAGGAGTACATATTCTCTGCCTTATCAGGAGGGTGAAAAGGAGTCAAGGTTCTTTGCCTATGAAAGGAATACGATCCTCTATCACACCGAGTTGGTAAAAAAGTGTTTGTAAGGGTTACTCCGCTTAGCTATAAAGGAGAGAAACTATAGTGATAGTGTAATACCCATAGATGAGGACTCTGGGAAGTGGACGTAGGTCATTGTTTGATCGAACCACTATAAATTTAGTGTACTCATTCTAATTTTTACTTTTTGCACTTTATTTTTTTTGCATTATATTTTTGGATATAACTACTTGGTTGAAAATATGTGATTGATATTACATTGTATCGATTATTCTATCATCACTATCTTTGCAACTTTTGATAAGTGTAATAGCTTATGCATCAAGTGATAGTATTACTTTCATATTAGTATGCATCAGGCTAGTTCCTTAAGGTTTAACAACTTTTATGAACTTTCACCTCATGGTGAAGGCAATGAACGTAGAAGCTTTTTCACCTTTTTGGTGAAGGCAGAGTACCTAAAAATTCTTTTGTACCCTCATGGTGAACTCAGAGAATCCTAGACTTTGACCTTGAAGCTTTTCTTCACAGAGTAGCCCTTGAGATACACAAAGCTCCGTAGATAAATCAAGATACCGCTTGTTTGGAGCGGTTGTGTAAAAACCCTCACACTACTTCTCCCTCTCACACAACTCACCATCTCCTTCTCTTCTCTCCAAGATATCTCATAGAATTCCTTCAACAGTTAAAAGTCCCTCTTCTTTTTTGAAAAACAATTAAGAAAATCTTTAAATGCAAGGTATTAAAAAAACTCTAAATTTTCAATTCATCCAAAATTAATCGTATAGTACGATCAGTTCAAAGCCAGATAAAATCCAGTACAATGGAACAATCCTAAGAAGAACAATTCAAAATTTGTATACATATTGTATAGTACGATTAGTTCAATTACCTCTTGATCGTACAAGACGATTTTTAGGACGATTGAAAATCATCTCTGCTAATTGTCCAGTATGGTTGACATTGTACTCTATGATTAGTACAAAAAACCAAAGTTTTGTCTAAGACGATCGTCGGGATGAACATGATTCATCTTTGCCTATCGTACTATACGATCCATATCGTATAGTATGATTGACAAAATTAATTAAAGCTTGATTTGATTGATTAATCACGAGAATTAAATTAAGTAAAATTTCAAATATCATACTAAACGAATGGCATCGTACAAGATGATTAGTTCAAAATACAAAAATAAAAACTTACTTAATTTTGTTTGGCGGCTAGGGTTTCTACTTTAAACAGATCATACAGTACTATTAGTTTAAAAACATTAATTACAAAATTAGATATTTTAAATCATTTTAATAACAACTGAACGTACAACACAATCTGAATCGTACAGTACAATTAGTTCAAAATTTTAAAATTTATTTTCACTCCTCTGTGTATGTGTGCACGATTGCCAATATAACATACACTTTTACAAGATTTTAACTCGAGAAATTAAAAATAAATAAATTAAAATTATAGAATTGTCAACTAATTCTATTTTACAAGATTATAGAATTAGCCGACCCCACGTAGTGGGATAAAGGCTTGATGTTGTTGTTATAGAATTGTCAACTATATTCCTATTCTATCCAAACTTGAACCCTATTATTTATGAACCCGGGATTCTCATGAGGAAAACTCACCAATGATACTCTTAAATCATAACTTGCTCATTAATGTTCTTACAATTATACAACTACTAATGAAACTCGCTTTCTACACCACTAATCACACAATCTATTTAAGTACTTTCAAACAATTGTATAATCCATTAAATCTCTCTCTCTCACTCTCTCTCTCTCTCTCTCTCTCTCTCTCTCTCTTCCTTCTTTGGGCTCAATTCTAATCTACAATACGATCTTCATATAACTCCATATAAAATTAAATCCAACACCAAAACTATGTGAAACACATTTACAAAAAAAAAAAATCAATTTACAAGAACATAATAATAATTTTGTATCAATAGTTAAATAAATTATATAATATCATCAAATGAATAATTTAATTTTTTTTTATTCTCAGATTTGTTTTTTATTCATATCCCTGAAAAATCGGAAACTAATTGTATGCTTGATCTTAGGTGTTTAAGAAAGCCAAGATGAACAAATGCAACCTTCAGTAAGCTTTCTTTTGTTAAATAATGTTAATATTGATCAAAGCTCCAGCTTCCCCTTTGACTTTAAAAGCTTTCCACCAGATCATATGAATAAAATGAATCAGCCAAAAACCAAAAAAACAAGAAATTTCTATTAAGATAAATTAATTTGTGGCACAACCCTGATAAAATTGCAAATTACAAATTGATTCTGAGCATTTTTGTATATTAGCATTACTTGCAAATTTTGGTTCAACAGCTAGAACTAAAGTGTCGTTTGGAACGACTTTTTTAACTGGTTTTTAAAACAGTTTTTTAGTATAAAAATTTTAATTTTTATACTAGAAAGCTGCTTTAATAAGCCGTAAGAAAGCCACCCCAAATGAAGCCTAGTACTTCAATTGGGATAGTTTTCTTACTACTTTATAAAATAGTTTTTTAGTACAAAAATATTTTAAACTAAAAGTTTCTGTACTAGAAAACTACTTTAAAAAAAAAATAAAGCTATCCCAAATGAAGCCTAAATTATTGATTCTTGTATTGTTGCAACGAAGGGGGTTTCAGCCTCTGTGGAAGATGGGAATCCCTTTTGATCTTCCATATTCTGAATTGGATCAGCAAATGATCTTGTGCATGGCCATCTAAATGAGGAGAAAATTATGATGTGAATATGGTAATATGAACAAGACATTTTTACATAATTATAATCTTACCTGCTTGATTTTATGATCACATTGTCCACTATAGTTTCATGGTCAAAAATGTCCTCTGCAATGTGAAAAAGCTTAGTCATTACAAGAATTAGGCAAAATCTAAAAGGAAAAGTACATTGCCAAGCTAGGAGTGATTTATATATGCTAAAAGAAAAATCATTTGATTAGAAAGTTAATGAATTATATATAGATATATAATGTCCATGCAATAGCTATTTAATTAATCAAATTTAAAACATAACATATATATATATATATATATATATATCAGCATATACAATGATACATTCAATAATAATAATCACTAGCTAATTATGAAAACAACAGCAAGCATTTATTTCATTATGTGGAGTTGGCTATATGAATAATTTTTCTTCATCGTGTCTTGCTAAAAGTTAAACTCTCATTTAAATCTAATAAAGAAAGACATTTCTAAAATTTTCTAACCAAATCTTTTTAGGTATGCTCTACCCTTTTTAAAATAAGTCAAATCTAATACATCTACTTTCCTAACCGGATCATCGGAAGACCGCCGTTTTATGTGACCAAATCATCTAAGGCGACTCTCTCTAATCTTATCTTCCACTGGAGCTACTCCAACCTTTTCACGCATATGCTCATTTCGTATCTTGTCTCTAAGAGTAAAGCCATTCTTCCATCTAAGCATCATCATCTCTGTAACACTTAATATTATGCTTCTCTTTTAATGAACAACATTCTGCACCATAAAACATTGCAGGTCTAACCAGCATCTTATAGAATTTTCCCTTAAGTTTGAGGGAGACTTTTCTATCACACAACAAGCCCGATGATTTCCTACACTTCAACCATCCAACTTGAATTCTACTAATAATATCCCCATCTATTTTACCATCACTATAAACAATAGACCCAATATATCGAATATTAGAAATCTTTTAATTACTAGCTAATTAAAAGAAAAAAAAATAAACAAAATAATATAAATAATGAAGTAATATAACAATTCTTAAAAATCAAGAATATATATGTGAAATTGTGTGACTAGCTAGACACGGGCAGATATAACAAAAATTAGAGCGTATGAAGATGAGATATTGAGAAGCATTCTCCAGAATAAGCTTGTGAGTGAGCGGCTATTAGTGCAAACAATCAAAACTAGTAAAATTGTATAAGAACTAATAAGGGAGTGAGGGTAAAGAGAAGAACCACAAAGAAACGACTAACTTCAACAGGAGAATAGAGAACCTCAACAACAACATCAAGCCTTTGTCCCACTACGTGGGGTCGGCTGCATGAATCCTTTTTTGTCATTGTGTCATGTTAAAAGTCAAAATCTCATTTAAATCTAATAAAGAAAATCATTTCTAATATTTTCTAACCTAATCTTTTTAGATCTACCTCTACCTTTCTTAACAATGACCAAGAAATTAAAAACAATGAGAAATAGTGCGGAGAAGTAAACAATTGTGCCTAATTATTATGGCAAATGAATCAAACAACGAAATTTAAACAAGGATTTTGTTTTGAGCATGAACCGAGTGCACAACGCTACAAGGCAATATAGTGAAGTGGCGCGATACACACACTTTGCTGCGAGCATACATTCGACTGGAAAGTGATGCACAAAACCAGCACATTTCTTTGATTCGCTCCTAAAGCACAATTTTAACAACACTGATTAAAACAAATAAATTCAAATATAACATTAGTTGTTTCCAGAAATTTCAATTCTGTCATCTTATTAGATTATATATATATATATATATATATATATATATAACTGTGAAGAAAATGGAGAAAAAACTCATGCCTTAAATAAGATCCTGTTGAACAACATTGTGATACAGAAAGAAGGTTTATTGTCTGCCTCAATGATGAATGCAACAGCCAAAAGCTTGTTCTGATTCCTTCCAAAAGACAATAACCAAAAGTTTGTTCTGATTACTTCCAAAAGACAATAACTGAAAGTTTGTTTTCGGTAAGGGTAATGGATAAAGCTGAAACGTACAATATTGTAAGGTCAGGAAGAAAATGAACTTGACATTGCTATACCAGTATACCAGCCTTCCATACTTAAGAGAATTGTTCCTAGGGAGTGCAAAACTTTCATATTAAATTATGGTTTATAAACAACAATAATCTACTACGGTTTATAAACTACAAATATGATAAAAATGCGGCAAGCTCACTATAAAGATATTAAATAGAAAGATTATATTCGCCTCAACAAAACGCATTTTCAACGTTTAGGTTAATAACATAGGGTCCATTACAAGGAAATATTGCTTACATAAAGAAAAGGCATTCAATTATAAATTCTGACTGTAAAGTTAATAAAAGCGAATCCATGTCAGAAAAATGTCAAGTGAATCCAATAGCATTCATAAGATTGCATATATTTTAAAATCATTTAACAACATTGATGATTGACTACCTCCATTTAGAGTTTTCATGGAGAAGTATTTAGCCTTTAATCTTCGTGAATATGCAGCTTCATATTTCTTCAGCTTCTCCACATTCTCTGCATTCCATTCATCCCTAGAGAGTAAAGCATGGTATCAGTAAATGAAGAAAACATATAAAATGGGATCTACACATCACATTACAGGTCATGAATAATGGCTTGAGAGTCGTGCATTAATATCTTAATATTGTAAATTCTACAACTCATGCATTTTGCCTACCATATAATTTATTTACGACGCCATAAACCAATGCCAAACTCTAAATAATGAGCAAAAGATGATCAAATCTAGATCATACAAGAGAACCATACCGTCAACCAAACCGAAGATATATGTTTTCTGTAAAACTCATGCATTTAAGTTATATATTATTAGATGTATAGGTAATTTGAAGCTTATACTCTGAGGCACTCCTCCAAGCAAAAGAAAAAGAACTACTATCCATATGCAATGATTACTTAAAGAAGATTAGGAGCGTCAATATTTGACACGACCCGAAAACCCGACACGAAAATTCCGGGATATGGTCAACCCGAATTCGAAAAGGGTCAGGTTCAGGTTCAATAAATCGACCCGTTTCAAAAACCGGGTCGGGTTTGGGTTGACCCAGAAACCCGAAATTGACCCATTTTTTACTTGGAAATATGAAATTGACCCATTTTTTTATCCGAAAACTAGTAATTTTTTGGTCGACCCGTGGCCATTCAGGTAGTGTCGGGTTGACCCAGACCCAAAGCGGGTCGGGTTCGGGTCAAAAAACCAACCCGTATGTAAAAACGGGTCTAGTTTGGGTTGACCCGAATAGTGTCGGGTCAGTTTCGTATTCGATCCGAACCCGACCTGTTAATCATTAGAAGCTTGGTATTTCACCTTGTTGAGTTTTCATGAGGGTTTCTTATTTGCCAAAATAAGGACAAAAACAGCTCTGAGTATACTATAGCTAAAGACATAATTCTTCTTCGCATGACACGTGCACTAATGATAAACAAACAGCTTGAGCTAATAAAAAATAATTTGTCTTCACAAAAATCATTTCAAGAAAAGCTAGAAACACCTCTGTCAAGTGAACAAATAATACCATTCACTTATTAGATAGGATTCCATGGACAACCAGCCACATTTGAAAAAGTTAATATGATAATACAATGATTCATTTATCAAACCAACTCACTAACTTAAGTAATTGCTTCATAATGCTATTGAACAAATACGTTAACATCCTTAGTCAATCAGATAGCCCATATGTCGATATAGTCCTATTGTTCTCCTCACATTCCCTCCTAAAGCTTACAGTCTCTTACAAGAATGACAGACACCGCCAATCATTACAGTCTTACAGCTTAGAAGATCTATCAATCTTAATGATTATAATGCCAACAACGTTACGTTAGCAAAGAAGCTTCACAAGCTTAGGCAGCACAACCATTGTCAACAAGAATAATCATTGCCAATAATTTCATAATCCTCTCAACTCTCCATCCTCGACCACACCCTCTTCCAATCTTTTGCCTACATTGTTGTAGATATTATATCATTTCCTACTATATCTTTGAATCCTCTATCCACTCCCATTTTCTTTGTCTTGCCTACCCTACGACCCCTACCCTTTCATTAAGTTACTTTGTTTTTGTGATGTGGAGGTCTAAGTTTGCAGTGCTTAACAAAAACACGAGATCTTTGCATTGAATCATTCCATTCTGTGCTGAGATGTGTTTGCTTCACTTATTAGTTGGAGTTGATGCCTATCAGTTAAGGATTGTATGTTCTAAAATTTTTGTAACACATTTTAAGTTTTCAAGTGTATACTTCATATGCATCAGATCCTGCTACTTTATCCACTATTTATATGCATGATTTGCATTAAAATCATCTTTAAAAAATTTTTTGATAATTATGAAAATTACAAATCCATTGCAAAATAGAATAGAAGGTATGTGAAATTGAAAGTAGGCCTTGAGAAAAAAATATGACCATATAAAGTTATGCAGCAAATTGGGATGAATGCATATAGATTAGAATGATAAGAAAAGTTAAAGAAACTACTCCAATTTTTAATATATCTTATCTTACCATATCTTATGAATTATCAACCAATGCCTTGAATTCTTCTTCTATTCCCACCTCCTCCATTTGGTTTACAACTAAATCATCATATGCCATGTTAGATCCAATCACTTTTGCACTTGAAGCTACTATTGGTGATGTCATTATGTCTACTATTTATGGTGGTTCTCAGAGGCTCCTTTATTTAAACTTTAAAGAGAGACGGGCTTAAATTTTTAAGTTGGGTAGAATTGAAGGAACTATTTAAAGCTCTTCCTCCTATGGTTTCTATACTGAATCTAGTTTTTCAATCCTTCTCAGGACGATAACAGAATCGATGTTTCTTGTACTTAATTGCTGAAGTTGTGGCTGGCTTTGACTTTTGGGAATGTTGCAAAGGTAATTCTAGTGACTTCACTTACAACTACTAGTTTCTGGACTTAAAAAAATTGCAATAAATAGTGAGCTATTTTGTTGGTAATTCCTTCTAGGGATCCTATGATTATTTTGTCTCTTTTAACAATTCTTTATTGAAATCGATGCAATTCCTTTGATATTGAATTTTAATGGTTGATTCCTTGGATTTTATGGGTTTCTACTATATAAATAAATATATGAGGCTCATACATAAAGAATGGGATGGTTAACAAAAAAATTGCTCAAATTTGCAAATCTACCCTTTAGGATTAAGTACCTTGACCAAGTATGATATATGAAATTTCTGAGAGAGTACATCATCTTATACAAGCATGAGACTTATTTTATGATGATTTCTTTTCTTGTTCTCTCTTTTCTTCTCCTTCTTTTTCTAATATTTTTTTTATTTGTTGAAAGGTTGATTAAGCTTTGTTAAACTTGATATAATAAAGATTTCATTCAATTGTGTGAGATTTTAACCATGTGCAATTTTGTGATCCTTAAATTTTCAACTATTATTTTTTAATAAAAATACATAATTCATTTGCCAAAATTGGATTTTAATATTCCTCAGCTTTCATCGAAGATAGTAAAGAAATGTTAAAGAAAAATAGAATTGTCATACTAATTGTAGGCTAGATCTAAATGCTAAATCTATCGTAACCCTAGGGTGACTATTAATGAATAAAATTTAGCTTTTTTATTGTAGATATGAGTTTATCAGATAAGCCTATGGTATTTGGAAGCTGATTAATTTTAATAATAACAAATATATGTTTGGAAGCATTAAAATCTATGTTAAGAGATTTGAGGGCATGGAGTTTGCACAAATTTTTCTACAAGTGGCTAAATCATATGAAAATTGAAGAAATCTAAGGACAAGGAAATCAAAAGACTATCAATTGGTGCTCAAGAGATCTTAGTAAGGTTTTTAGGTTCAATTGAGTCATTAGGTTGCCTTTACTTGTTGATTAGAGTTTGATCTCACCTTTAGCCCAAGATTTTAAGGAAAAATAAATTTAGTAAATATTTAAAATTACTCAAAAAATCATTTTAACATTCTAAATAACTTATAGATTAGTTAAATGATTTTTAGTCAGAAGTTTTATGCTAATTCAATCTTTACTGAGCATTGTTAAGCCCTTCGAGGCATGAGGAGTTTAGAATACTTACAAACGAGTCAGAGAGGAGATTTACATCTTACCACAAGAATGAGTGAGAGTGGGATTTTTAAACCGACTCAATTTTAGTTAATATTCCATTAATTTAGAAAACAACTTTCATACTAAAGGTTGGACATCTTAGGATTTTGAAAGCCCAATCTTGTGATAAGTTTGGTCATTCCCTTGCAGTAAGTATGCATATTTCCTTCGGCAACTTGTAGCAATGGCTATGAAAATGGAGTTTGGTTTAGATACTAAGGTAAGAAATTTTGATATCTCTTGTAACCTCATCGATATGTCTTATCAATGAGCTTCATTTGAAGATTGGAGATTTCTTCGCTGCATACAAGAATAAGACTTGGTGGCAAGGTAATCTTGATTTGAGATATTGTGATATTAGTCTTGAGCTTCGTTGCCTTTTGCAAGGGTCTGTGAAGGAATTAAAAGGTGCTGATAAGTGCTCTTCGATTTGATACACAAAGATTGTGACTTTTCTGATATCATTGATTGAAGTTCAACCATATAAATATTGGTATTGAGTGTGTAGTACATTCAATTTCTCTTTTGTTTTACTCTGCCGAAAACTGTTCTCAATCCTAATTGACACTTTCGCATCAACATTGGCAAAGTAGTTATAATAAAATTTAATTAAGCGATGTTTTCCTTAACTTTTCCAGGTTCTTCACCGCAAGACAAGAATACTAGTTCTAAAAAAGAACAGAACGATCTCACTTATCTTAGTAGGCTTCCAAACTAATACAGACAATGGAAATTTAAACGCTTCAATAACAGAAAAAGAACAACAAGGTCTGAAAAGTGAATAAAAGAACTCACAAAAATCCATCCGCCAACTCAGGCTTCAACTCATTACTCTCCAAATTGACGCCAGTAACCTGAGAGAACCCAAACCCTAAATTAATCCCAAGAAATAAGCATCAGAAGAACAGAACTCGGACCAAGTGAGGGGTGACGCAGTCACCAAAAAATTCAATTTTTGCTATTGAGAGGTGAGTGAAGAAAGGAGAAGTGCATAGTTGAAGAACCTGGACAGAGACGGAAGCCATGGAAGATACTGCAGGGGCGTCGCCTCCGGCTCCGGCGTCTCGCGACGGAGAAGGCAGCGCTGCGCCGGCGGGAAGTTGTGGGGGCGACGGAGGTGGCGTCGCCATTTTGTGGGATGAGGCGAGAAACTAATTAGGCTACGGCGAACTGAACGAGAAATTAGTAGCCGAGCGGGTTATTTATTGAGTATTTATAAATATTCAATAAATCAGTTGATATTTGTCAGTATTTATTAATATTTATTGTGTATTTTATGAGTATTTATTAATTTATTGAGTGTTTATAAATACTTAATAAATACTCAATAAATATGCAATAATTTCGACAATTCTTTTTGTTCGCACAAAATAATTTCTCACAAACTACTACTAGTATAAGCTAGTTAATTGTCATTGTAGTTCGACAAATGGAAGAATTTATTGATCGTGAGTGATATTTTAGGTAATTATTTTGAAAGATGACAAAATTTTGTATTTTAATCTCATTTAACATAATGTTATGGTTTTGCACTCACAACCCTAAAAAAAAAA